TCCATGAAAAACATGAGTTGCTTTTGGTCAGCTTGTCACCAGCCCAGCCTCAGTGTTGTGGATGGATACGAGATCAGCCACCCGTAAGACCAGCACCCTCTAGGTCGTGACTTTGGATGAAATGCCTCACCTTGCTTGCATCACCAAGGTGGGTTTAAGAGTGCCGACAACCTTGTATTTCAGCTACTTGCCACAGGCTACCAAATGTAACACCCCAGAATGTGCTGCAAAGATGAAGCAAGATTAGCAGTCCTGTTTCTCTCCAGCCTCTTGTTCAGAAGCACTACCCCTAGAAACCTAAAGGTGCTTTGAAAACGCAAGTTTTGTGAAGCTGAGGACAAAAGGGAGGTAGGACTCAGTGTTGTGCAGAACTCCAGGCAAATTCCCTGCACCCTAGCAGGGGAACAAGAGGATTTACTGCCTGCTGTGGTGCTGGATTCCCCCAGACAGTTTCTGTAACTACCGCGCCCCTTAAGGAAATGTATGTTCATCTACTGTGTTTCCCTTAACACTAGTCCCAGCATCTATCCCATGGGGTGGGTCCAGATGTAAGATGCTAAAGGAATGGACTTCGTAGGTTGCATAGGCTTCTGAGGGCCTTGGCACAGTGGGATCTCTTCAAGATAAGTCATGATACAAACAAGCCACAAAGGCGTTGCGCATTGTATGGTATATTATCGCACCATAAATCGGCTTTAACGCATTGCTGGGTTACTATGTAGGGTGAGGAGAGAGCCTTAATTGTGTCTTGTCTTTAATGTGTGCCAGGGCCCAGAGATTTGCCATGCTAGGATTTATGTGATATATGGGGTCCATCAAGCTTGAGGAAGGTGTTTGCACCCCCTTTACAAGCAAACATGGAATAATTTGCCCCAATGTGAGCTCTCGCCTACGCCTCTAACATCTAGTGAGTGATTTCAGCCCAGAAGCCTGAGGATTAATATCCCTTTGGTTGGTGTTTATTAGTTCTGGATAGTCTTAATGTTAGAGCAGGGATGTCAAACCCCTGCCATGCGGTCCCCATTGCTGTCCCTGGGTCTGATCAGACCCACATGGGCATAGCATATGCCAGTGGCTGGTCCATGGGATGAATCTGGCCCATGGACCCCTTCCCTTCCCCCTTCAGCATACTTGATCTGGACATTGGATCCCAGACCAGCTGGAGCATGCCACAGGCAGTGTGGATTCCAGCTCAGCCAAAGCAGCAGCTGCCCTGCATGTGTTGTCTGCCCTGGCAACTCCTGGACCGCACTGCAGGTGGCACCTATTCCAGCCAGTCCAGGATCTGTGCTGCACGCATCACCTGTGAGTACCACTTGCAGTTTGGGTCCCAAACCAACTGGAGCAGGCATCATGTGTATCGCTTGTCCCAGACCCAGGGCCATGGCTAGCTGGGGTGGCCACCGTGTGCAGTGTGACTACTGTTTTGGTTGGACTGCGCCATATGCAGTGCCCATTCCAGCCACTCCAGGGTCTGCACCCCACATTCCAGACAGCTGCTGGCTTGGGTATGATGGGGGGGCTGTGTGTGGGCCAAATCCCACAGGCCCATGCCAATCATTCAGCTCATGGGGCTGCATAAGTTTGACACCCTTGTGTTAAAGCATTTTTTTTTCTTTAAGCTCTTAGCCCAACAGCCTCTTGTGGCATTGAGTTCCAGTCTGCATGTTGCATGGATAAAGCATTACCTTCTGCCGACTTTCATCATTGTTCCCTTTTATTTTTATTTTACTGTTACATGCATTGCCCCCTCTCCTGACTGGATCACCATGTTGCCTTGCTTCTGCTCTGTCAAGGACAAAGTGCCCAAGTTTAACTGTGAAAACATCTGAATCCTCTAAAAATTTAATACTTTCTATTTATCTGATGCTGGCTGTAATTAGGGCCTTTGCCCCAAGCTAGCTGCAGTGATCATTGTGGTCTTCTAGTGAATTGCTTCAAATGCAAAAGGCAGGCAGATTGACTGTTCAGTAACTTGAAACACTTCACAAACCTGCAGACAGCATGAAGATGCTGAGTTTGTATGTGTGTTGCCAGCAGCAGATGCAAAGTGAACACTTTGCTTCACCACCAAGGCTGCTAACTCTTGTCCAGTAGAGCTATTCTACTTCGCTAGTCCAGCCACACTTACACCCCCAGCAGCAGACCCAGTGCCACTCTTCTACCACTAGATTCTATTCTACTTTATAGGAAGAGGTGAGCCTTGGACCTGAATAAGCTGACACGAGAGAGTGCAGCAAAACACAAGTACATTAGTCAGGACTTCAAAGCAAATCCATCTTTATAATTGGCAAATGAAAAACTTAAGCCTATGAAAGCCTAGATGAGCATGGAAAATTCCATCTTTCCAAGGAGTGAAGGCCTTGAACTGCTGATTTATAAAAGATACTCCTAAGGAGACAAATTTGAAGTCTTGTGCTTGAGTGGGAAATACAATTCCCATTTCTTCAGCATCAGCACTGAGCGGAAATTTATTTGTTGGTAAGGTACTATTGAAGGGTTCTGGGACAGATTGGAGCAGTGAAGAGCAACAAGGGCAGTCTTGTATAGTCCTCAGAGTGAATGTCTGGACTAGGTATGCAAAGTGCAGTGGCTGGACAAGATGTGGACGCTGCGATCTTGGTCGACTTGATGATCTGCTCAGGTCCCTTCCAGCCCTGCCAGCTATGAAACTGAATCCTTGGCTGTGGAGACGGCACAGATGAGGAGGTAAGTTTTACTTTGCTCTTGTCTTGAGACTGTTGGTCATCAGGCTACCTTTGACTTGGTGTCCCACAAAGCCTGATAATGACAGAAGCGTCAACTTCTGAGATCAACACCTAGAACAAATTGGAGCTGGTTGAGAGAGCTGACTTCCACCTTGTGCACCTGATGGTGAAGGAAGTAGACTGAATTGGATGTATGGGGGAACCTCTTGAAGCTGTACCTCCAAGCCCAGAGTGAATGACTTCTATCAGTGCTATGTCCTCTTGTGACACTGGTCTTTCTACCCCTAGGCTAGATTGCTGGTAGCCTGGAGGAGCACTGGAGCTTTCAGGTACCCTATTGTCTTACGATGTGCCTATCAAGTGAAATGCTGCCCACCTTTTTTTCCTGAAGCCAGTGCCCTACTCCCAGCTTGGTTGCAGCATGAGATCATGGCAGCCAGAGGAAATGCTACAAGGACACACTGAAAGCATATCCCAAGAGAACAGATGTTGATATTGAGAGCTGGGAGGAGCTGGCTAACTGACTCCAGTGGTGCTGCAGCCTCAACCAAGTGGCAGCCCGCTTGGAGGCAAAGCGTCTTGCCCTCAAAGCAGAGAAGAGAGTGGAGGCAGGAAAAGGGGAGAAATCCTAGCCTACAGCCCACTCCCCCCTCCAGAAAGTCCCACAGCTTCTGCAGATAGATCTGTGGCTCTTAAGTCACCTCCAAAACCCATCAGGGAGCCATGGTAGAGATCGTTCTTGAATTGTGGGATTGCCGACGATGATTGTCTGAAGATCACCAACACATACAGATTGGGGGATGACTTTCTAAGCAACACAGCAGGGAAAAGGATCTCTATGACAACTCTGAGTCATAGTTGTCTCAAAGACTCGCATGAGTCGACAGAATGATCAATAGAGCTAACCACTCTATCATGCATTAGCAGGTGCATCACGAACAGGTCCAGGGAGGTGATGCTTTCCTTTCTGTGGCACTGGTTAGGCTGCAGCTGGAGTACTGCGTCCTGTTCTGGGTGCTGTACTTCAAGAGGGATGTGGACAACATGGAGAGGAGGCCACTCATATGGTTAGGGGCCTGAAGATGAAGAAAGAGTGAGGGACCTGGATCTCTTCAGCCTCAGCAAGAGAAGGCTGAGAGGTGACTTTGGCTGCCTATAAATTCATTGGGGAGGGGGGGAACACAGGAGATGCTCTGTTAAACTAGACATTGGGAAGAACTTCTTTATGGTGAGGGTTATCAGAATCTGAAATAAGCTCCCAAGGGAGGTGGTGCTCGCCCCTACCTTGGAGGTCTTTAAAAGGAGACTGGACAAGCACCTGGCTAGGCACCTAACCCCAGCACTCTTTCCTGCCCAGGGCAGGGGGTTGGACTTGATTGACCTACTGAGGTCCTTTCTGACCCTGAAAATCTATGAGAAGGCTTCAAAGAACAGCTGTCCAGTGCCAACAGGAATCTTCCTTCTGAGAAACAAGTGTGCAACCCCCCCCATCCCCTCTAAATAATACAGTGGTCTACCTGACCTCCAAGAGCCAATGTGTCACCCCTTACTACTGACCCCACCTGCTTAACCTCCCATTCCTAATCACAATGGGAGTACTGCATCCAGTTTTTGGGTTCCACAATTCAAAAAGGATGTGGAGAAGCTTGAGAGAGTGCAGAGAAGAGCCACGCGCATGATCAGAGGTCAGGAAAGCAGACCTTGCGACAACAGGCTGAGAGCCATGGGACTCTTTAGCCTGGAAAAGTGCAGGCTCAGGGGTGATCTGATGGCCACCTACAAGTTTATCAGGGGTGACCACCAGTATCTGGGGGAACATTTGTTCATCAGAGCGTCCCGAGGGATGATGAGGTCGAACGGTCATAAACTACTACAAGATGGCTTCAGAATTTCTTTACTGTCCAAGCCCCCAAGGTCTGGAACAGCCCGCTATCGGAGGTGGCTCAAGGACCTACACTGAACACCTTCAAGAGCAAATTGGATGCTTATCTTGCTGGGATCCTATGACCCCAGCTGATTTTTCTGCCCTTCAGGCAGGGGGCTGGACTTGATCTTCTGAGGTCCCTTCCAGCCCTAATGTCTATGAAGAACTTTGCTCCATAACTTGGTATCATCTGCGAAGTTGCAGAGGGTGCTCTCCACACCCTCATCCAAATTGCTGATTAAGATATTAAATAACACCGGTCCAAGGACCGAACCCTGTAGACCCTACTGCCCACCTCCTTCCAGGCTGAGAACGACCTGTCCACCACCACTGTCTGGGTGCGGTCCCTAAGTTAGTTAGCCACCCACCTAACTGTGTAGGCATCCACTCCACAGCCCGTTAGCTTCCCTATGAGAATAGGATGCAAAACTGTCGAAGGCCTTCCTAAAATCCATTTATATATTCCCCCTCTTCTTCATTGTGAGCCACACTTGCATCTAGTTCTGCTTTGCCTGCCATCCCCCACCTATTTGCTGTTTTGTGGGGCATAGCAATTTTGCATTTTTATTTTTATTGTTAATAACCCACATAAGGTGCAGTTTACGGTCCTCAGTGTGGCGGGGAATGCAAGCACTCCCTTCCCTGATGCTCGTTCATGGATTCTGATTCTATTAAAGTGAGAGCCTGAGGGATTAGAGGTTTAGAATGAGATGAGCATAATAAAACTAGAAAAGATATACTCTGAACGGATGGGGTATACAACAGGAATACAGTTAAAATGCTAATTAAGTTGTATGGGATGAGAGAGCATTCCAACAGATGAGCATGAGGTGTGGAGATCCAATGGAAATCTTTGAAAAAGCATGGGGCAGTTGAGACCTGACTCTTAACTTTTTTTTGTTTTGGTTTTTTTAGTTTTTAAGAGACGCATTTCAGAGTTTTTTTTTTTTTTTTTTTTTTTTTTTTTTTTTTTTT